ATATAGATGTATAGAGCTACATGTATATATGCATGCATATATATATATATATATATATATATATATAGAGAGAGAGAGAGAGAGAGGGAGACAGAGAGACAGAGAGACAGAGACAGACAGAGCCACGCATATATATATTTATATATTTATATATACATATATATATGTATATATGTACATATTTGTACAATGAGCAACATATATCTATTTATCTATATGAGTTGCTGTTTAAGGTTAGAGAGAAAAACACTAGACAGACACTAGCTGTATCTTTTATTTGTTTTGTTTGTTTTGTTTGCATATCTCTTCACTTCAATTAAAGAAGATGTTTGCTGCTGTCTGGGCTTTATAAAAAGCATCTGCTGCTGCTGCTGTTGCTGTCTTGCAGCAGCAGCTGCATGCAGAAAAAAGCTATGCTGCTGCTGCTTTTGTTGCTGCTGCTGCTGCTTGCTGTTTTAAGTGTCTTAGCTGCTGCAGCAGCAAACAAAGCGTTAGTTTGTTTGTCCCCATTCATTTCTATGCAGCACAAATGCTGCTGCTGCTGCTGCAAGGAAATAGCTGTACATACACCTTCACCTTCACTCATCTGCTGCTGCTGTTGCTGCTGCTTCTGCTGCTTCTGCCTTTGCTGCTTCTGCTGCTTTGTCTGCTGCTGCTTTTGCTTTTGCTGCTGCTGCTGCTGCTTCCTGATCTCCGTCTGTCGCAGGAGAAGGGGTAGCGGTTGGTGCTGCAGTGATGCATGCTTCTGTTCCTGTTGCAGCAACCTGCTGCTGCTGCTTTAGCTGCTGCTGCTGTTGCTGCTGCTGCTTTGGCTGCTGTTGCTGCTGCTGCTGTTGCTGCTGCTGTTGCCACTGCTGTTGCTGTGCAGCCCTTGAAGGAGGGTCTTGAAGACGCCGCAGAAAAGTAAGAGCAACAGCAGCAGCAGCTCGTTCCTCCTCCAGCAGCCTTGCTGCTGCTGCTGCCCTTGTGCTGCTTAGCTGCTGCTTCCCTGCAGCAGCAGCAGCTGCTGCATCAGCACCAGCAGCACGGCTGCTGCTGCTGCTGGAGGGCTTTGCCCCTTCTGCTGCTGCAGATCCAGAAGAAAGCTGCGGACGCATCTTCAGCAAAAAGCAAAGCTGCCTGCACCACAGCAGCAGCAGCAGCAGCAGCAGCAGCAGCAACAACATGACACCCGGGGGCAGATTATTAAGAGCAATGAAGCAGCAGCAGGAGCAGCAGCAGCAACAGCAACAGCGGAAGAAACAGCTAGCAAAGAACACTCAGTAAACTACAGTAGCAGCAGCAACAGCAGCAGCAGCAGCAAGAAGGTAGCTTGCCTGCAGCAGCAGCTGGCTAGGGCCTGCATCAGAAGAACAGGAGGAGACTCGAGATAATTAAACAAAGGCTGAGAGCAGCATAAATCGTTGAATGCTTCGATGGTGCATGCAGCAGCAACAGCAGCACAGAGGAACAGATGCAGCTGTTTTCTGCTGCTGCTGTTGCTGTTGCTGCTAATAAAGCAATGCAGCGCCTGCTGCAGCAGCAGCAAACCATCATCTTCTTTGTCTCCTTCAGGTAAAGAGACAGCTAGAACGGGGATGTTTGCTGCTGCTGCAGTTGCTGCTGCACTTTGCGGCTTGCTGCTGGATGCAAACGCCGAGAACAACCGCTGCCGCTGCTGCTGCTGCTGCTGCTGCTGCTGCTGCTGCTGCTGCTGCAGCGGCCTATAAAAGGCACTTGCTGCTGGAGGGATTTGTGTAGAAGGCGGTGCACTTAGAAAGAAAGACATGAAAGCCCAGCGCTGTAAATCTGCTGTCTCCTTCAACTCAGACTCCTAAACATATAAACACAAACTAAGACATTAAATATTATATTATACTTATTATATTTAAGTAAACTAAATATTATATTATATTAAACATTATATTAATTGTATTAAGTTAAATATTATATATTATATTATATTAAATATTATATTAATTTAATTATATTAAATTAAACTAAATACTTTATTATATTAAGTAGTATATCAAATATTATATCATATTAAGTATTATATTATATTAAACATTATATTAAACATTATATTATATTATATTATATTAATTATATTATATTAAAGATAAAATTAAAGCTAAAATAAAATAAAATAAAGTATCGGATTACGGCTTCGCTAATTTCTGTGTCTTCGCTCGGCGTATTTTTGCCTGCATTTGTTTGGACGACGTTTTGTTTAGAGGTATTAAAATTTAGCCTTTTAACTTTGACTTTATTTTTATCTTCTTTATTGTCCTCTTCATCTTCATCGTCAGCCCCTCCGCCAAACAAACCGACAAAAGTTTTAATTATGCCGGAGCCATCAAAAGCTTTTAGTGCTGCAGCACTACTCATTGCAGGGATAGCTTTCATTGCTGCTCTTCCTGGGGGCCTCATACGTGCTGCTGCTCCTGCTGCTGCTGCTGCTGCTGTTGCTGCTCTTGGGTCCTCGCCATCTGCTGCGGTTCCTGCTGCTGCAGCAGAACCAGCAGCAACAGCAGCAGCAGCAGCAGCAGCAGGAGGGGGGGCATCTTCATCAAGCCTACCGAAGAACAACCATTCTACTCTCCGCTGTCTCCTTCTTGCTGCTGTTTGCTGCTGGTGCTGCAGCACTGCAGCATGAGGTCTGCTAGAAAGCGTGAAGCAGCAAGCAGGAAAATAGCTGCGACAGCACTGCAGCAAATGACATAGGCGGAGACACAAACAATAAACTATCCCAGGACTAGTAGTCTCCCCTATCATCATCCTGCTGCTGCTGCTCCTGCTGCTGCTGCTGCTGCTGCTGCTGCTGCTGCTGCTGCTGGTGCTGGTGCTGCTGGTGCTGCTTCGCCGACGACTGATGGTCCCGCTGGCGTCGCCCCGTTCGGACTGCTCAGGGCTATTGCTGCTGCTGCTGCTGCTGCTGCTGCTGCTGCTGCTCTTGCTGCTGCTGCTGCTACTGCTGGGTTTTGCTGCTTCTGGAGACTGCACAGGCGGGACAACTTGGTGAGAGACACAGAGGCAGCAGCTCCTCTCAATATCGGGTTGCTGCTGCAGCGAGAGCAGGAACTGCAGCAAAGGTTGCAGCAAACGCTGCAGCAGGCGGCCGCACTCCTCCAGAGAGATGCTGCTGATCCCCCTTGCTGCACCTGCTGCTGCTGCTGCTGCAGGGTATAGAGGTGGAGAGACAACATTATACAAAAAGCACTCTGCTGCATCTATTAGAGCAGCAGAGTGTTGCGGATGTCCGTTCAGCTGCTGCCGTTGCTGCAGCAGCTGCTGGTGCTGCTGGTGCTGCTGGGCCTCGTGCTGCTGCAGCGGCTGCGACTGCAGCATGCAGCAGCAAGCACACGGCAGCAGCTGCTGCTCGCCTACCCGCAGCAGCTTCACTGGTAGGAGAAGCCCCTGAGCCCTCATCTCCTTCTCAAAGGAACATCTTAAATCTTCTAGGCACCGTTGCTGCTGCTGCTGCTGCTGCTGCTGCTGCTGCTGCTGCTGCTGCTGCTGCTGAGGCAACCCCAGCAGCGGCAGCAGCGCGAGGAGACATTCTGCTGCTGCTTGAGCTACAGCCGGTCTCCTACAAGTGCAGAAGAAGAGAGTTCCGATTATTAACTCTTCTCCTTCTCTGGCGCTTAGAAAATGAATGCTGAGGGTCTCCCCATCTGCTGCTGCTGCTGCTGCTGCTGCTGCTGCTGCTGCTTGTCCCTTTGCTGCCGGTGCTGGTGCTGCTGCTGGTGCTGCTGCTGCTGCTGTCTCCTCAGCGTGCAGCTGCAGCAGCAACTTCACACCAAGGCGAAGTGAGCAAAACAGCAGCGGAAGCACTGAAGCCTCCTGCAGCAACGCATGCAGCCCCAAGATACCCCACATGCATCCTTACGGGCAGCAGCAGCAGCAGCAGCAGCAGCTGCTGCTGCTGCTGCCGCATCAGTAGCAGCAGCAGCACTGTTAGCCGCAACCAACTGGCAGCAGCAGAGGCACCTACAGAGCCGGCAACAACAGAAAAAACATAGCAGCAGCAGCAGCAACAGCAACAGCAACAGCAACAGCAGCAGCAGCAGCAGCAACAGCAGCAGCACTATATTGCGTACGCTGATTTTGGTGAGAGGCAAGAAGCAGCAGGGTCGCAGCAGCCTGCGCTGCAGCAGCAGCACTGCTGCTGCTCGTGCTGCAGCAGAAGGCCAGCAGCAAAAGGGAAGGGAAGCAAAGTGAGATAAGCACTGCAGCGTAGCAGCAAATGCCCCTTCTGCTGCTGTTTCCATTGCTGCTGCTGCTGCTGCTCCTCCTGCTGCTACTCCTGCTGCTGCTGCTCCTCCTCCTGCTGCTGCAGCACCCTCTTCCTCTTGCTGCTGCCGCCAAGCGGAGAGACAGCGTAGCGCAGGATACACCGCAAACCCCTGCAGCAACAGCAGCAGCAGCAACAGCAACAGCAACAGCAGCAGCTGCAGCAACAGCAGCAACAAGTAGCTAGCCCAGCAGCAGCAGCAACGGGCGGCAGGGAAAATAAAAAGACAGCAGCCACGGGAGCAGTGCAGCTAACGGCAGCAGCAACAGCAGTAACAGCTGCAGCAGCAACAACAGCAACAGCAGCAACAGCAGCAACAGGTATAGCAGCAGCAGCAGCAGCAGCAGCAGCAGCAGCAGCAGCACGCCATCGCTTGCCGCTCCACTCACAATTTCTACAGCTTCTA